GGTATGCAGAATACCGAATATATACAGTATGTGAAAATACTGTAATTATACGGTAATAATACTATAAATATACTGTTCGCAAAATACGAAAATACAGTATACTAACCGTATATATATTTTTTATAGGGGCAATAGACACTTGTTCTTTAATATTATTCATTATTTTGTGAATATCATCATATGTCTCACATTTCGTTTGATCAGTTGGTAAAATAGAATCCATTATACTTCCAAATTCTTGTGAATAGACCACCTTTGGTCATAATTTCATACAATCCGTTATCAGAACTACTGGACCCTTCCAATGTAATTCATTGGCAATCTTGGCAAAACAAGCAATATTTTCAAGAGATATTTCTGGACTTGTTAAAATATCTTGATCTTTGCTGTGAAAATGCCTAAAAATCATGGTTCATTATTATTTGTTATACAATATTTGATTCAAAATTATAATAACACTTGCCTTATTGAGGATAGACTCATGCCAGCGAAAGCATTTTTAAATATTTCGTATGTACGAGAATTTTCAAAGATTAAGCTAAAGAATTGGTGGAGATGTTCGCTATACCAGATGCCAGTTTTACGCTTTCCTGCTGTTTCAAGTTTTTTGATTTGTACCATTAATCGTACTAATTCCTCAAAGGTCTTATTAGTAGTAAATGCTCCTTTTCTTCCAAGTTCAGCTAATTGAAGCCAAATTTCAGCTTCATCTGAATTAGCAGACGCACAAAATAATTTTTTCAAATTTTTATTTTTAAGTAACTTGATAAACTTCATATCAAAATGACTGTTCAAAATGTATTTAGCTGTAATGTCAGTATGTTGTTTCTGAAGGTATATCAAATAAATATTTAATATTTAATATACATATTATTTGTAAAGAGAAAAGGAATTTCAGATGATGAATTTCAGATGATATTTGCCGCTTTGATAGCATCGTTAAGTCAGATATTATCTGTAAGAACTAAGCAATTATCACAAATGCCAAATTTGTTTGTGGTAAAATTTAAACATTTTGTGCTAAATATAGCAATAAGATCTTTATTGAGCTTCCATTAATAAAAGGCAAGTAAAGTTCTTTTAAGTAATTTTCTTTGATCTTCATCTAAGACATGCCACGAATAATTCTTTTGCTTTGGAAATTTTCTAGAAACAGCTCATATGCAACAATATCAGTACACCGGCTGTCACCATATTGTGAAGGACTTAAAAGAATATAGTTATGATACTTCTCTTCTGTCAAACCTGCACAAGCAACACTGGTATGAGACAGCTCAATTACTCTTCGTTCTTTTAATATTTCATGGGATTTCCAAAAAAAATTCAAGGTTGAGCTGTGAACTTGCACCATTTATTTTTTGAATAGTTATCCAAGTTATGGACATGATAGGTTTTGTCAAGCTTGATTTCTTTATTACACATACATCGCACAGTATTTTCATCAATAACTTCTTGAAAATATGGATGTTCTTTAAGTTTTTTATAACGTTTAAGTTTTTCACAATTGTTGAAAGTAATATCATCAAGCGTACAGGTAAGCTTAGGTTTTTTTGCTACTGGTTTTTTTGCAATACGCTTAGTGAGATGTTTACCCAACTTAACCATTTTTGTTTAGTTTATGTTCTGGTACAGAGTACATTTTTCAAAATTAAACACCCTTTTTTATAAGAATCAGGAGATAGTGATTGGCAGAATTTAGGTGCTTAATTTTGATATGTAACATGCATGTAGCGTATTACATCTTATATATCTGATATATATATATATATAATATTTTGAAAAATGAACAAACTTTACCTTATAGATTATAAATAACATTTTGAAAAAATGTATAAACCTTACCTTATATTATCAATTACATAAAAAAACCTTACCACTGAATTTCAGTTACCTTTTTAATTATCAAGTAAACCTTACTTTATAAATTCAGGTAGATTTTTAAAATTTTATATATAAACCTTACCTTAGGTTTAGGGGTGACCTATTATAGTAGTAGGCAGGGTTCTCCATGTATATATGACTAAAAATAAAAGTGAATTAATATATCATTTAGGTATAAATAATTTTAATAAAGTAATTATAAATTTTACTGCAAGTAGTTTCATTATAAAATCCTGAAAACTACATATAGGTTATTTTAAAATTCAAAAATTTATTATGATCTTTTTTTCAAGTTAAGCTAAAAATTTATTAATAATGTTATTCAGTTTATTAGTAATTTTAAATTTTTAAAATAAAATAACTTATATAATTATTTATAACAATAAAATTTACCTAATTACAATTATTATTATAAAACTAATCATTGTCCAAAGTAAAGTAAAGAATAATATATATCTATGTATTATGAAAAAAAAATTAATTATATGAATTTTTCTGTTTATTACATAATTATTGTTCAATGAAATTGCAAATTTAGTTTTCACTTTGAACTTTCTATCTTTATTAAAATTAGAATATGTTATTATTGCAAATCTTGCTACTATATTATAGTAGAGTATTTTTTTTATTGATCCTTTTTTTGAATTCAGAATTGAACTTCTTTATTGATAGTTGACTCTTTAAAGTGTTCATTTAATAACATCCAATTAAGGCCTTATTTTTGATATGAAAGTAATTTTATAATTAATATTTCTGGTTGTGATATTTCTAGAAAATTTACTAGAAATTCAGCTTCTGATTGTGATGCCAAATCCAATTTTTTTGTACTTCTTTCAAAATCTTTGAAAATTTTAAATTTTAGTAATCTAACAACTGCACTACTTTTGTTTTTTTTTATAAAATTTTTGAAGAGTATTAATATCTTTATTGTTATTGGCTTATTTAATTTTAAATTTTAGTAATTTTCCTGTATTATTATTATTATTTTTGGTAGATATTGAGATTTTTATTTGAATAAATTTTATTTTATTTTAGAATATTTATAAAAAAAAAATTATTTCTAATTAATATATTATTAAATGGAAAAAGAAACAAAAAATTTCTAATTATTAATAAAAAAAAATCTACTTATATAGGGTATATACTGTGGTAAAAGTATGAAAAAAATGTACTTACGTGAATATATTAAAACTGTGAAAAAAAATGTACTTATGTAAGTATATTAAAAGTATGGAAAAAAAAAGTATTTACGTAAGTACATATACTGTGATAAAAAATGTGAAAAAAAAAAATGTATTTATACAAGTATACTGTAATAAAAAATATGGTTATTCTTTTTTCTCTATAAGTAAAAAAATTTTTTAATTTATAACAGATTGATATATATAATACGATTCATTTTATATATATAATTTATACAGTTTATTTTATTATACGTTATAGTGATTATACAGTATTTTAATAGTAAAATTCAGTTTAGCGAAATTTTATTTATATGATAAAATTTGTATCATATGAATATTTGTTATATTAAATAATTTGTTAAATTGAAATTTATTATAACATAAGCTGATTGTATTAGAAATGTAATAATTATTATATATATGGTGATAGAAGACCTTGCCTACTATTAAGATAGGTCATCCTGTGGCTTAAGGTAAGGTTTATATATAAAACTCTTTGAAGATTCTATTATAAAAGGAAATTTTATATTACATTGTTATGATTTTTTTCCTTTTTAGTTAATTAACTAATAGAATTTAAGCAAATTCTAAGGTAAGGTTTCATATGAAAGTGAAATTTTTACTGGTAACATATCTTAATAGTAGATGGGATCCTGGTGGTAGTTTTATTCTTCTCATTTGTCATTCAGAAAATCTGGCAAATTACAGATACAGGATATCTGACAGATATATATTGTATAATAACACATTTTATTAAACATTTATTTATTATTATTAAAAGTGTTAATAGTTTTAATTTACTATTTACAATTGAATTACAATTTCAAATTTTTTTCATATAAATTTTGAAATGTATTAGGAAAAAATATACATATAAGGAGAGACATCTTCTTTCCTATATAAACCTAGTATTTGTAATGATGAATTAATTTGTCTTTGACTTGGTTGACAAAATAACTTAATCTATTGTTTTACCTATTTTCAAATTATCAATTTTAGAATTTGTTAGATTAGGACTTCTTAAAATTAAATATAGATTGTAAAAATCATGCCATAATTTCTGAATATCTTTACCATATTTTTCTGGGATAAAATTAACAATAGAAAAATATTGCAGAACTTTTTTCTTATCAGGTCTCATTAATGAAATCCAATTCTACTTGCCACCACTTGACCTTAACTTAAAAAATTCAAAATGAACTTTATTTGATTTTATGGTTTGTTTAATTTGATTTTTAATTTCTTCCATTTTTTTTTCTTCATAAATATAACAATAGTTATATTCATAGTTTATTATAATTCAACAAAATTTTTTTGTAATTTTGTATATCATATAATTATACTACAGCTTTTTCTGACTTGAATGTAACCATGTAATCTGATTGAACAATTTCTTTATCATCAGTTAGTCTTATATAATTTGATGATGAATATTAGCAAGAATATTATCTAAAGATGATACTTCTATTTCAACCCATTTAAATTGTAATGCTGGACTGTAGCAGGCTTTATCACCAGATTGAAAGATATAATTTGTTCTTTATTATTTGTTTTATCAAATACATCAACATTACTATTTTTCCAATCATCTTTACTTGAATCTATTCTATTACTAAAGTTTTTTCTGAAGATAAATTTGAAATATTAGTTGATTTTGAGTTAGTTCTTATCATTTTGAAAGGTACAAGTGGAACATAAGAGAAGTTAAAAGTTGTTTTAAGATCTAAGAAATAACCAAATTTGGTAACTTTTTTCTCGAATAAATTAGATTGTAAATCAGGTGACGAAACTGCGACTTTTACTTTGTCATTTGATTTTTTTTGTTTGGCTTTGATATTTTTGTCACAAGAACATGCTTTTTTCGCATACTAAATTCAATTTCACAAATTCCACAATAAAGGCACTTTTTACAACCAAAACAAGTGCCAATGAGGTATTGAGTTTCATTGTTAGAAGTTTTCATTTGTGTTTATTAACGTAAATAAGTGGAACGTGTCTTTTTCTTTGTTAATATACAGTTAAAACATTTGGTAATTTATTGAGAGTACATATTTGTGATTCTGGTAATCACATACATGATAGATAAAATTTAATTATTTAAATGATGATTTTTTAATGTAAAAGAAAAAAATTTCTTACATATACTCTATAATTAGTATTGAGCTAAAACAAACTAATAAAATAATTTCCCTTCATTTATTATCGGCATTACGAACAGCTGAAATTAAGTTTAGTCTTATTCAAGAATAACTACTTCCGGAACTTGTTTTTTGGATTTGTGTTTACCTTTTTTTTTGGCATCAGGATTGGATTTATCACCTTCTTTGTTGGGATCGGATTTAATGGCTCTAATGGTTCTAATCAAATATTCAACATCATCGTTACTTAATGCAAATATAGTAGCGGCATACCGAGATTTAATCTCCTTAATCATATATAATGGAAGTTTGTTATCATTGTTGTTGTCATTGTATATTAACAGCATTTTATTATATAGTTCATAAATATTTTTCGCTTTTCGATGTTGGAGATCAGTAACTTTTTTCGGAGCATTTTCTCCATTATTGTCGCTAAATAGCAATTCTCCGAGACGGTAATAACAACGAATAAGTATCTGATTAATTTTTTGGTATGACCCGCGTTTTTTTCCATCAGGAATAAAATGCTGAAACAAGTGAGTTCCAAAATGTTTTCCAAAATCAATATAACAATCTATAGGATTAAGTTTTGTATTATATTCGACTTCTTTGATTGAGTCAAGGATTTCATGATATAAATGTTTAAAAAAATATATATCATTAACCAGATGAGCAGAATAATTAATTCGAATGGAATCAAATATTTTCTGGTTGATTTCTTTAAACAACTCATGTAATTTTTTGAATTTTGTGAAAACCCTTAATTCACTCAACCCTTTATGCAATTTTGTATACTTATTTTCATTTCTTAATTCTATGAATTTTTTCAATATTAATTCTTCCGATATTTGATGTAATTCTTCTAATAAACTTTCTAATAATTCATTTAATTCTTTTGATTCATCTCTTGATATTTTCTGTCTAGTTTCTTTTTTCAACTCATCAATTATCTTATAAAATTCTTCTATCTCATCTAATTTATCCAAAAATTTCACAATAAATCCTTTTGCTTTTTCTGTTTTGAATTGGGAATCATTTGATAATTTTTTCGAAATTTTATCATTAAATTCTTTTATATTTTCTACAAGTGTATTATTAGATAATTCTTTTCCAATAAATACCTCACGTAATTTTTTTTCTATCTTATCAATATTCCCGCCAGCCGTATCATTATCATCTTTATTCATCAAATCTTGTCTTATATTGTCATGCATCTCAAATAATTTTTTTTCTATTTCACCAAGTTTACTATCAGAACAACGATGAACTATTTTTGCATACCCCAAATCCTCGATGGGAGTTTCTATCTTTTGATCAATCTCTTTTAATATTTCAGTTGTCCTGGATAATTCTTTTTCTATCTCACAAAGTATCAATGGCAGATTTGTAATCTTTTCCAGTTTTGTATTCTCTCGTGTTTGTGTCTGCTTTGTATTCCCTTGTTTCGATGTCTGAATTTTATCCCATATATTATCATATTCTTCCAAATTCTTACAATTTAATATTTTAGGTATCTCTTCGCGTAATTGATCAACTTGTGCACTTGTTGGATCCGTGAAATTATTTAAGTTTTCTGCCCACCGGTTAATATATTCCAACCTTTCTTTTATTCCACCAAGTTCCTTAAATAATTCATCAGTAAATTCAGTAAATTCTTCTGTATGCAATGTCTTACTTTTCTCTATTATTTGGTTAATTACTTCCAACTTCTTAGATATCTTAAAAAATTCTTCTATTTCATCACTTTCTTCTTTCGACGACTGTCCATTTTTTTTCTCGTTTTCCTTTTCTATTAGATTTAGCAATTCCTTTGATGCCCCATAAAGTTCCCTAAGTATATGGTAATCAACAGACAATTTAGTTGATTCCGGGTTACTGAGATATTTTTGATCTCCCCATTTCAGAATAATTTCGACAAGCTCTTTCAATGACAATTTCTTCATAAGTTTTTTCATATTCAATTCTGATTGACAGTTAGTATTTTTTTGTAATATAAAATCAAGTCCTTCCATCGCAGTATATAATTTCCATATCCACAAAGAAATATCAGCAGGCTTTGGAGCTATGGCCTTTACTTTCATATCATTTACTTCCTCTACCTTTACTTTCTCTGCCTTTACTAATTCATTAATTTCTCCGCGACGTTTTTCATATTTTCCCCCATCTAGAACATCGTTCAGATTATTTTCTACCTTTACTTGCTTTTCAGCGTTATTTTTGTCATTTAAATCAGTTAGATGCTTAATCAATTTTTTTTCAAACTTTTCCTTTTTTTGCGATCTCCCAGTAATAAATTTTATCAATGCAGATTTCTCGAAAAACTTCTTTATTTTCGATTCCTTCCGATCAACATCTTTTATAATGCAAGGCTTAAAGTAATCTTGTAGCAGATTTTCCAAATCAATAGCGGTATTCCTTTTAATGTGAATTTGAATACCATTTAAAAGTCGTTCTATATCCTTTCCCCCATCACCTGTAAGAGTGAAAAGCTTTAGCGAATAACGAATTAAACCAGCGAGAATTAAAGAAATCAATCCAAAAATAATGATCGCCGTGTTTATTGGAACCACATTTTTTTGTTGTAAAGTAAAGTCAAGTATAATAAAAACAATGAGCAGTAATGAGCTAAACATAGTAAACGTAGTATAAAATGACCTCATCACTAGTAACCAACCACACCAAAGTTCAATTGTATTTTCAGTATTTCGAATGTCATCCTCATCAGTAGTTTTCAAAGAAAGTTCAACACTTTCATCGCTCACTTCTGAAAATTTAATGGCAATATTATCATCATCCGTCGATGGAGTCATAAAACTTCTTAAATTCAAGAGTAAAGTCATCAAAGAAGCGACTCCGGTTACAGAATTTTCTACAATTTTTGTGATGCCAGAATTTCCAACCACGAAAATAAAAATAGTCCCAAATAAAATGGTAGCAATAGAGAAAATAATAGCCTGTAACGTATTTTTTCTCGCAATCTTATAAAGAGCCAAATTCTTATCTGCAACTCTCTTCAAATTTTTCAGACGGAATGCTCTTGCCACTTTAAGTCTCTTATCCTTAAGTTCCTTCAAACTTATTTCTTCATCCATCTTTATCTCGTAGTTTAACAAAGCGCAAAATATAACGTGAAATCTAACGAATAAAGGAACTTTCTCGTGAATTAAATTAAAAAGTCTGTGAATGTGAAACGATTTTTTGATCTTTTCGAAATCTTCATTAAATAAGAAAATAACCATATTATATATGATAAAAAAAGAAAAAAATAACTTGATAAGAATGTAACGTCAAACAATAATTATTAATTTAGTTCCCATGATGATAAATCAACCAATTTTACCAGTCGTAAACCTGATTCAAAGCGACAATAATCTCCAAATTGAGAGTGATAAGCTTGCCCTAAAAAACTAAATGTGTTAAATTTGTTGTTCATGTGTAATAAATGTCTAAAAAAGCACACATGAACAACAAATTTAACACATTTCGTTTGTGTCGGCAAAAATTACGTCTTGATCCTATGTTATCTTCTTGACCAGCTTATTGTATAATCTATTATGCGGGTCAAGAAAGTAAGTGGTACAGGGTCAAGAAGATAATTTTTGCCTTGTGTCGTGCTACATACGCAAAAATATGCATTTGCGTACAGCCCGTACACAATCTTGTGTAATAAAACAGATGTATTGTCTACCTAAAATAAAGAAAAAATTTTTTTTCGGCCAGTATGATACTATCAAAATGTTAATAAAATGCTTTAATAAAACCTAAAGAAACTTTCAAGGAAATACAGGTATTTTTTGTCTTTTAATACAATTTTTTAGCACTTTTACACATAATTTTTAATTTTATTTTATAATAAACAAAGTATAGAAAAAGTTAAATCTGTTATTGCTATTTTTAATGATCTTAACGTCAAACAATTGCTTAGATATTTTTTCGTAGATCGTCTTAACAAATAAAATTCGTGGCATTTACTTGATTAAATCTGTGGCTTTAAATTGTGGATTTATTTAATTAAAACCGTGGCACTTACCTAATTAAATTCGTGGCATTTGCCCGATCAAAATCATGGATGGTAGTGTCGCCACTTTCAAAAATAAATTCGTGGCCTTTATTCAATTAAATATGTGGCATTTATTTAATTAAATTCGTGGCATTTATTTAATTAAAATCGTGGCAATTATTTAATTTAATATATGGCATTATTTAATTAAATTAGTGCATTTTTCACTTAAATATGTGGCTTTTATTTGATTAAATTCATGATTTATTTGATTAAATTTGTGGCTTTAATTTGTAAATTTATGACAATTTAAATTTCACGGGATTCATGTAAAAATTTATTAATCAATTTATAGCATTTATTTTTTTGATTATTTCTTTCCTATAAAAACGAAATGTGTTGTTCATGTGTAATAAGTGTACAATTTTGTCCGATTTATGACTTATTACAAAAAAATGAAAATTAAACAAAATGGAGACATTTATTACACATGAACAACAAATTTAACACATTTCGTTTTTATAGGGCTTAGTGTGCGAAACACACATCACGTGAATGACTATGAATAAATTTTTATTAAATATATGTAGTGTGCGAAACACGCATATGATTTATGACTTGTATTTACGTGTAATGCAAAATTTATTTACGTTTTTTGCTATACTTACCCTCTTCTTTCTTTCTAAAAATTTTCAGTTTCGCAAAGTTTCTTGTTTGTCATACAAAATACTAAAAAAATCTTCATAAAGTTTAAACTCGTATAATCCATATATTGAAGATGTTTGCAAGGGGTCTGGTACGAAATCCTGATCGAACACATCGCGTAACTCTGCATAACGCAGGCCATTTGTCAGGATTTTGTACCATTTGGGATTTTGGACCATCAGAATTTTGTACGGGATCTCATATCAAACCTATTAATATTCGATATCGGTAGGGAACAAGAAATCTATGATGATAAAAATATGCTTCTTCAAGTATGTTGTCTCTCTTTAATATTTCTTTTTTTAGTACCTTTGTTTAACTTCTTTGCCTTTGTTGACTAATTAATTCATTTTTTTTGTTTGTTAGTTTTCCTTTCAACATTTTTACGACTTTAATAACAAATTTAGAAATGATCAAAATGATCTTCAACTTATTAGCAGTCAAATAAAAGATGTAGCTTATTCAAAAGAACTAGAACAAGAAATTCACAATAATGAAAATATGAATTGTGATATGTATTTTCCTCAAGTATGTTGCCCTCTTTTTTTTGTACTTCCATTTAACTTCTTTATCTTTATTGACTAATTCATTTTTTTTAGTTGTCCGTTCAACAAATGTATAACTTAAATAATAAATTTAGAAATGGTCATCAGCTTAACGGCATATCAGAACAACTGGAAGATTTTACAATTGATGATAAGGAATAAGAAAACCATGATGTAACTGTTAATACTTCATCACCAGTAAGTACTATTTCTTGCTTTACTTTAACTATTTTTTTGATTTTTTTTAAACTAATACTGCATTCCTTTTTATTTATTAGTTTTTTATTCAACCTTCGTACTTAAATTCTAGTAACTAGTAATGAGTTTAATGATAAAAATCATTAGTATCATATTAATACTTAATATTCTTTAGATAATGATATTAAATTACTTGATATTGACTCAAAAGAAACGGAAGATTTGGAGTTAAAGACTGGATTTAACTTTTCAAGTTGGTAAAAATTTAATATTTGGATCGATGATTTCTAAAATAAAGGGATTCAACTATAAGGTTAAATCTAGTCAAATGGATGGAGAAGTAATTTGATGTATTACTTATAAATATATAAGATTAGGTATTCATAATCACAAGTATCTTCTGATCTAACTAAAAAATGAAATGCAACTTCACAATATACACAATATCTGTAAAAAATTAATGTTACTTGTTCTAACTTCTAAGATAAGATTCACAATTTCAGAAATTAACCCAAAAATATTATCTGACATAAAAAAATATAACATACAATGATACAAAAACAAATGGATTCTGGATCTATTTACCCATTACTTATATATAAATATCCTAATTATACTATTTTTAAAAAGGATTTGTATAATGCAATATATCAATTTTAGCTTAATAATAATCCAAGTGATTCAGATGCATTTAAATACTACAAATGTTATTAAATTAGAAAGAATTAAATCTATTATAGATTGTTAAACTATGCATAGAATCTTCATTAAGAAAGTTGAATCATTTATTATGGATGTTATCATATTAACAATCTTTATATAAAAATTTTCATGATATTGTAATTTTAAATATAACATCAAATACAAATTAGTTTTAAATAATGCTTTGTATCATTATTGTCATCAATAAACATTTTAAGATAAGAATTGTAGTATCTGTGATCATAAAAGATGATATATTAGATATCTTTTAATGGATCTTAATGACTATGTTTAAAAAAATAAGTATTAATCTTAAAGTAATTTTTATTAATTCAGATCCCTCTATAATTGGCACAATCAAAGAAATACATCTCAATACAAATTATTTATTGTATATTATTCATATTGACTTAAATCTTTATAAAAAACTCAAAAACAAATTAGAAGTCCATTTTTAAGAATCATTTCATTACAAATTTTATGGTTGTTGACTGTTGTTATCCCAGTCATGTATAGAGTTATATCTTATTACACCAAAAGATCATGTAAAAAATTAGGATCTACTGTGTCCAACTGTGCCAAGCTGACTAGCCACAGCCTACTTAGCCTATTATTTCTATTATATTTATTATATTAATTATATTTAATATAATCAATATAATTATTTTATTTGTTTTGTTCTTAAGTTCAATAATAAAGTATAAGTATAAAGCTATTTTGGTTGATATAATTATTTTAAAAAACTCTTTCCCGTTTCCTCCAGTTCACTATACTGTTTGAAAAACTTAGAAATAATTTTTGTTCAAAAACTTTTAATTTTCTTTATTATTTTACTCGTTTATAATACATATATCTACTGGTAACTAAATTAAGGAGTTTTAGTATGTTGAAATTGTCAAAACTATTTTGACATTTCGACATTGGCTTTCTAATTTGTTGAAATGCCAAAATAGTTTTGACATGTCAAAATTGTCAAAACCTAAAAATATTACGTTTCATGTAATAACTCAGCATTCAATAATCGTAAAAAGATGCACTATAGCTCGTTGGAATTGTCTCATAATGATGAGTCGAATGGTGGTTAGATCATCTTTTATGATCACTAGATGCTGAGATATTGAGCGAAACGTTAAAAATTAGCATTTTGTATTTTGTAATACTATGCCGTTTGGTGTTTCACTTAATAATTTGGCATCCAATGATTGTGGAAAGATGCACCATAGCTCATTGGAATCATCTCATAACGATGAGTCAAATGGTGGTCAGATTATCTTTCTACAATTACTGAATACCGAGATATTGAACAAAACATCAAAAATCAGCATTTTGTATTTTGCGATACTGCGCCATTTGACGTTATCACCGATACCTGCCACGTATCAGCAAACTAATACTCATACTCAGTTCAATATTATGCTTGGTTTAGATTTTATAATCTCTTAACTCCTCGCTCTCTTTCATTTATTTCCTATATTCTCATAAAATTCATTTTTAAACTGCAAGAGTTCTCTTATCTTAAATAAATAAACTTTATATAATAATTAAACTTGGGATAATTTCCCCTTACTTTATTTTATTTCTGGACTTAATAATATAATATTAATTAATTCTCAAGCGTACAATGGGCATATTCAAGATAACTTTTAATAATTAATATTTCTTTTTATTAATATGAGTCAAATTTCTTCGACTGCGGAATTTCTAATGAATTCCACTTGTATTTATACATTTTAAGAAAATCATTTCTAATATCTACTATCTTTTTCTAATAAAAATTTAAGAAAATACTAAGAAAATAAAATATTATTATGTAACTATCTTATGACTAAACTAAACTATAAAAATATTATCATGTGATTATCTTATGATTAAATTAAATTATAAATATTATTTATCAGCTAATTATTTTACCCATCGGCTAATTATTTATCCTTGTTTCATTTGGTCCTTTATTTATCTGATCATGTGACTATTTTAATTTCACAGGTTACAACGTTTCGCTTATTATCTTGGCATCTAATGATCGTAAAAAGATGCACCATAGCTCGTTGGAATTGTCTCATAATGACAAGTCGAATGGTAGTTAAATCATCTTTTTACGATCACTGAATGCTGAGATAATAGGCAAAACGTCAAATGGCACAATATCGCAAAATACAAAATGCCGATTTTTGACGTTTTGCAGCATCCAGTGATTGTAGAAAGACAATCTAACCACCATTTGACTCGCTGTTATGAGATAATTCCAACGAGCTATGGTGCATCTTTCTATGATTATTGGATGCCAAGTTATTAAGTAAAACACAGTATCGCAAAATATAAAATGCTGATTTTTGACGTTTCGCTCAATATCTTGGCATCCAGTGATAGTAAAAAGATGATCTAACACCATTTGACTTGTCGTTATGAGACAATTCCAACGAGCTATGATGCATCTTTTTGCTTTGCTAGTATTTATACGGCTAGGCATCCTTCTACCTCTTTTGAGGCATCATCGTGCCAGTATCCTATCATCCCTAAGGGGTAACTATACCACTGAGTACTTATTGTTCCTTAAGCAGACAGCACCATATTAGAAGACATCTTCCATCGGGCTATATTTTAAGGCTGATCTGAAGCTAGGAATATACCGCCTACTCATCCTATACCTATTGCATAATACTGATACTCAATTTTTATGACCTTTAGAGAGCATCTACATTCATGGAGAACTTTCAACAGGTAGCATCAACCATCTAGTACTTTTCCATACCACCATTTTAGGTATGAGGTCTCACTCAAAGGCCACTACAGTCTGCGATTACCCAACACCGATAGTACAATTGTTTACCCCAAGTGGTATACTTTGTAGTGACCACTTGAACAGGAAGTAGCAGGCATCTGAATGCATCTTTTTACGATCATTGGATGCTGAGTTATTAAGTGAAACGTCAAATGGTGCAGTATCACAAAATATAAAATGCCAATTTTTGATGTTTTGCTCAATATCTTGGCATCTAGTGATGGTAAAAAGACAATCTAACCACCATTTGACTCATCATTATGAGATGATTTCAATGAGTTATGGTGCATCTTTTTACGATCATTGGATGCTGTGAAATGCAATATCACAAAATACAAAATGCTAATTTTTGACATTTCGCTTAATAACTTGGCATCCAGTGATTTTAGAAAGATGATTTAACCACCATTTGACTCATCATTATAAGACGATTCTAACGAGCTATGGTGCATCTTTCTACGATTATTGGATGTCAAGTTAGTATATAAAACGTAATATTTTTAGGTTTTGACAATTTTGATATGTCAAAACTATTTCAGCATTTTAGCATTTTGACAGGTTTTAGTTTCAACATTTCAACAATAGCCTGTAGAGTTTCAGCAGATAACTTTACTGGTAACAAGGGAAAGACTGCACACTATATTCCTGTACCAACTAAAGCTCCCTCTTTTGCTATTAATGGAAACCTTTGTTTCTCTTCAGGTCCTCCACCTGGTCAAACTCCAGTTCGTCAAGATAACCATTCTTCTCCGCCTGCTACTATCAAGTGCGTTAGGACTATACATGATCTGGTAATTCCCCATTTTTGTATAAATAGGTAATTCGTAATCCTGGTAATTAATTACCAGATTTTTTGAAAAATACGTAAATACGTAATTATTTATATTATACGTAATTAGCATAAATATTATTGGCTGATCATGGATCATGTGCTTTTTTTATACAAAGTCATATCAGCATTTTATTGTTTTTGCATTTTTATATAGTATATAAATGCCAGAACTATTTGTTTCAGTGTTTTTTTTGCATTTCTACAAGTAAAAAATGCCAGAACTATCAGTTTCAGCATTTTTTTTGCATTTTTTTTTGCATTTCTACTAATAAAAACGTCAAAACTATCAATTTTGGCATTTTTTTGCATTTTTACTAGTAAAAACGTCAGAACTATCAGTTTCGGCATTTTTTTTTGCATTTTTACTAGTAAAAACGCCGAAACTATCAGTTTCAATGTTTTTTGCATTTTTACTAGTGAAAATGCCGGAACTATCAGTTTTGGCATTTTTTTCATTTCTACAAGTGAAAACGCTGGAACTATCATTTTTGGCATTTTTTTCATTTCTACAAGTGAAAATGCCGGAATTATCAGTTTTGGCATTTTTTTTTATTTCTATAAGAAAAAATGTGGAAACTATCAGTTTCAGCGATTTTTTTGCATTTTTACAAGTAAAAATGCCAGAACTATCAGTTTCAGTGATTTTTCTTTTTATTATTACATGTAAAATGCCAAAACTATCAGTTTCAGCGATTTCTTTTCATTTTTACATGTAAAACTGCAGTAACTATCAGTTTCAGCTATTTTCTTTTCATTTTTACATGTAAAACTGCTGAACTATCAGTTTTGGCATGTTTTTCTCGCATTTTCACATATTATGTGATCAATTACCAATAGTATTTATGGTAATTATATTAAACGTAATTATTTACATTATACATAATTAATTACGATTAACGTAATTATTTACGTTATACATAATTAATTACGAATTACGTAATTATTTACGTATTTCGAATTACGAATTACGTTTTTAGTTGATGATTTACCAGGCCATGTATAGTTAAGATTACTGATGATGCTATGGAAACTAACGAACCTGCACCTACTGGTACTTCTACTTTTTCTGCTAGTACTCTGAAAAAAATCAGATCAGATCAGA